GTTTCATGCTTTGGGAAGTATTGAGGTAGTTGTAGACCTCAAGTGATGATCAGGCAAACAATCCAACAATATTGTTTTCTTAAAGTAGAATATCGGGTAGTATAGGCCAGTTCAATAGAAATCGGAATTCGGCCCGTGTGTACACCCGTCTGACGAACTTGAATGCTGGAAAACCAATGGCTGCCAGTGCTGACTGGTGTGTTCTTGTGGGGTGGCACCCCCTTTCAGAACACAATAGCTCAGCAGGGAGATCACTTTACTAACATCAGATATTTAGTAAAGCAAACTCCTCCCCAACTCTATAGTTGTTTTTTGCTCAGTCTACTGTGTTGAATGAAAGAAAACTGAAAAGGTGTACCAGGCATTACACTCACCTCATCCTTTAATCCACCGGAAACCGGCACTCTCCCACGTCCAGTGGTGGACTGTTCCTGGTCTATGTAGCCTGCTATGGGCCTGATGACGTCAGGAACAGTCCATGATTCAAGACCATGGGTGTGCTGGACCGGTCTAGTGCCGGGAAGATCTTAGGATTAGGTAAGTATATCAATGCTCTCCTCTCCCCTAGAAAAAAATGAGCAATTAACCCATTCAGTGCTGGCATAGCCCCACTGCATGGGAATAGACAATTTTACCCAGAGTTCAGCTTTAAAGAAAACCTATGCCAATACTTATACCTGCTGTTCTTGACCTGTTCTGAAAATACCAGTTGCCTGGCTGTCATGTAGATCTGTATTATGTACTTTTCTTGTTGATGACAACCTGCATGACTTCACTGGCTCCAGGTCAGCAAGTCATAGGAGCAGCATGACTGATAGACAACTAACATTTTTCTAAGCAAATTGACAATATCATCCTCCGCGCTTCCACTATGATGGCCCACATGCTCACGTTTGTCTCATGAACATTCATGTATGTGGACAGAGCAGATATGTTGGGTATATATAGCTATAATAACAGAATCAAAAATGAGTCTGCTATGACAGATTCTTTGACACAGACATCTTTACTATTCCCAGTTCTTCAGTCGGCTGAATATGAATGCAATAGGGATATTAATATTTTATATAATATATTAAAGCTGAACTCCAGGAATGATTTTTTTTGTTTTTCAAACGTACACTGGTTACATTTATTTCTTCATATCTCATATCCAAAGGGCTCCTGAGGATGCAGAAAAACCCTGTGCTACATACATTTAGCACTGGCCTCTTCTACATGCTGCTCATGTAACTTGCTGTCTGTATTCTGAACACAGGGGGTTGCTTGCTCGGCACCACCACTATTCAAAGAATGTCTTGCATTATTTTCAGTGAATGCAAGGGGCAGATGACATCTAAATCTCCACCTCATCCAATCAGAGAAAGCCTTGTTTTCTTTGAAAAAAACACAAGAAATTCTCTGAATGGCAGAGCTGCTGAGCAAACGACCCCCCACCCAGGGGCAGACTGACCATCTGGAAACTCGGGCACTGCCCGAGGGCCCGGGGTCAGTAGGAGGCCCCATGAGATGCCCCTGGTACCTTTTTCATAGGCTTTTTTGAGTTTGGGCAAGGACACAGGGGCCCCATGATGCCCTATTGCCCTGCGGCCCCTTGAGTTGTCAGTCTGCCCCTGGCCCCCCCTGTGTTCAGCAAACAGGAATCAAGTCGCTTCAGCAGCACCCGGAGGAGACCATCACTGACTCTATGCAGCACAGACTACTACAGTGAATCTGTGCATCCCCAGCAGCCCTCTGTATGCAAGATATAGATGTAGCCAAGCTGGATCAATGCAAATTGAAAAAAATGATAATTCCTGAAGTTCATCTTTACAGATATACAGTATATTGATTAAACATAAATATTTCCCCACATTACTCTATTAAATCACATGGTTCACTATATGACAACAGCGCTCCACACAAGGACACATGCTCGATGCAAAGCTAAAGCTTTTGGTTATAGGGAACCACCTAGACAATGGGTTTTAGGATAACAGATGTGAAGCTGAAATATCTAATTTGTAACAGAGAGCTTATGACTCCAAGATGTCAGCTCATCAGCAAAGTTGTCAAAATGTCAATCAGCCGCTGTGAGCCATGTCACACAGGGTCAGTAAAGAGTGCTGTATTTTAACTCCTCCATTGTCTAGCAATTAATTTGTTAAAGCAGTAAAGTAATGATGGGGGTAATGTCATCAAAGGGCATGTTACCCATACAAGAACTAGTATCCCTTAAATGGTAAACTTTCCTCCCAGTGTCACAGTACACCATTAATGGACAAGTGGACTAGTCACACAGCTTCCTACAAGGCGAATAGCCTATGACACAGTGAACCACACAGAACAGACACTACTTTAAACAATAGGCCATGCATAGGGCTGCAGTGTCACATCCTCTATAATAAAAGTATATTTTCCGGCCTCATTGCAGATGTGATAATAATGCATGATTCAGCAAAAAGAAAAAAAGTCTTTGGAATTATTTTAAGACAAATGTTTTCTGCATTATTAAGGTGTGAAAAAATCTTCCCTTGTGATTGTAACAGTTGATTCAAAATGCTTTTTTCGTTGCTGGAAATAAGTGAAAATCTAATTATCGAACAGTCTTAAGGGTTTGTGTTTGCATTAAAGGAGCACTGTGGGATTTAAAAGAAATGCATATTAAGTATTCAACATTTTATGTTAATAGGAAAAAAAATCTTTACACTTTGTAGTGTTCGTCCCACAAGGAAAAATGGCGGGGTTGCTTGTAAATTGTTTATTGTAACATTTTATATTATTTTATTGACCCCAAAATATTATTAACATAGTAATTCAATTAATTATATCCCCCATGGGGCTTCCATTCACTGGTGGCGTATACAGGAGAAAAGCACAGCTAACCCCACCTCTCATTCCAGTTTCTGGCTTAGGGATGGGGGGTCATAACCAGCAATGGTTTTAATAACACAGTAAACTCTGGGGAGATTTCTCAAAGGCCTTCCTTGCCTACATCAATAGTTGTATTGTATTCAATGGTATGCCCTCCAGCAGGTTTACTTCACCAGCAAAACCAGCAAACCAGCAAATTTGAACCTTTGATCCACTATCTTGATTGAATTTCTGTGGTAGATAAAGTAAACTGGTAAAGAGATCCTTTGCCCAAGTTGCCCTCTTATATGTGGTCCAGGGGCGGACTGACCATTCGAGCATTGCGGGCACTGCCGAGGGCCTGGGGCCAGTAGGGGGCCCCATGAGATAATCCTGGTACCTTTAATTGGCTTTTTCATAGGCTTTTTTGGGTGTGAGCAAGGACACAGGGGCCCCATGATCCCCTATTGCCCGGGGGCCCCATGAGTTGTCAGTCCGCCCCTGATGTGATCTTGACAATTGTAGGTCCCCACCTATCTAGCAACTGGGCCTATAGACAAGCATGTTCTAAGCAAGGTCTCATAAGTGCACCACTATGCATGTCATAAATACCCTTATTTAGGCTAAAAATAAAGTCTATGTCACAATGACGCAATACACTCTTAAGGCTTTAGAATGCATCATCAATGAATACACGGTTGCCTACCTCTGGTCATTGAGGATGGGTAGGGGACCTAGATGGAAGGAAAGTGTGTTGACTCATTCTTTATGTTGGAAGAAAACCAGTAAGAGGTTTGAGGACCTCTTTAGCTGTCCACAAACATATCGGAAAGAAAATAGTGATCATAGAATTATTAGAGTTACTGTGAAACTTGGTTCCTGCCAAACAGTTTGTTCAAAATAATTTTAAGTTACAGTTACTGTGAAACTTGGTTCCTGCCAAACAGTTTGTTCAACAATTCTAAGCAATTACATTCTCTGAAGCCGTATTCTGTAACATGATTTTGAAAATACATGAAATATTTTTTAAGACCATAAAAGCTCCTATGAGTGTATTTAATTGTCTCAAAAAAAATGCAATCAAATATATTTATATGACGTATAATTAAATGATGCATACGTGCAACTGAGCTTATTTAATAAACAAAGGCAAAAAGCAATGACTATGTGTGAAGTGCACTAACTCAAAGCAGTAAGTCAGATTTCAGATTACTGCTGTCGGTGAAAAATGAATTCTCATTGATTACTATGGACTGAAGCCCTAAGCACATACTAATGTTATATCGTGTGTCCTGTTATTTTTAAAGCTTCTGTGGATTTAACTTATCTTTAGAGGTTAAGAATTACATATTTGTCTTAAAACCTATTTTGGCAAGGATGATATGCATTCATGCATGGTTAACATTTGCTTTGTCTCTAACAAAAAGCTGACTATGAAGAAGTAAAGGATCTGGGAGGTATCGTCGTCATGCTTCAACTCCATCCATAATGATTTGCAGTGGTAGGAGGGACAGAGGCTCTGGATCTCAGGTTGTAAAACTCAATTGACCTTAAACACTTTGCCCTTGACTTCAGTGCATCACCAGAATGATCAGTTGATTGGAAAAGCAATAAAGTGAAATGTTCTAATGATCTGCAATGATCTAAGAGAATACATTGCTGATCAGCTTGCAGGGTTATTTAAAGATGACTAGGATGAAGGCATAAAAAGTCATAAACAAGTATTGATTAAACATATGCATCAATTTAAAATTACAGCAGACTTTGAAGAAGAGTGATACAGAGCTGGGTTAACCAAGAAATGATGTACACTTACAGAATGATGCATAGGTTGGGTAGTCACAATACCATATACTATGAGTAAAAATCAATCTGCCCTTCCCTTTTACAAATTATAGACTGTGCTAGTTACATCACATCATTTCCAGGTAAAGCTGGGCTCTAGAATTTAAATCATCTCATTTAATGTGTATACTTTCAACACATATGATTTGTAAAGCATGCAAGCCCACATCTGGTAATAAACTTAGATGGGCAACTGAAAGCTTTTTGAATTAATTGCACAGAAGTCCACGGTTGTGAAGTGAGAAAATATATATACGACTGGTCTATTCTCTGTAAGTCACCCTTCTAACATGGTTTGAAGAGAACCATGTCTTCAAACTGACCTGTCTTAAAGATCTCATAGCGCAGTGAAAATCCAGCACCTTGACGGCCATAGTCAGAGATAAAGCGGATGTAGATATGCGAACCGGATGATGTGATTGTAGATGGAGCAATATTGCCACAATGTTTGCCCAACAGCTCTGCATTTTCCGAATCTCCATCACGAATTTCAATGAAATCATATCTGTGTAATAAAAATATTCAGATTTAATGCTTTTTGAAGAATGATTCCAAAATTGATATTGTAATGCAAAGCAATAAAATTAATCAATTTTTAAACAGTATTTGTTATGCATGCTCCATTGTGTTTCGCACAAGCTCCTGAAGAAGTATCACCTTTGTTCAGAACACGGTTTCCCAACCTTTTTTCAGTCAAGGCACCCTTTAAAATTGTGGACAGTCCCGAGGCACCCTCTAAAATTATGGACAGTCTTGAGGCACATCATTCTAAAATGTGAAAAACTATTCTAATAGTTTGTATAATGCAGCAACATCCACACATGTAGGACACCCAATGTTAGAGGTGATTTATTCTTCCAAAGCAAATACACTTTTGCAGATTGGTACTGACTAGTATTCCAGTGTTTCTCTTCTCCATCAGTTTTTTCTCCATCACTGAGCTAATGTTACCCCACCACTAATGCAGAGGGGCAGGGGAGGGTCAAAGTAGGCTGCTTTGTAGGCAACTGACATCCTCCTTATCTACTGATGTCATTGGTTGTCAGGAAGCCGGTGACTAGAAGGTCGTAATGGTTCACAATGAAAACCTGTGGCTTTGTGTAACTAAAAGGCAGGCTTGTTCCACCCGCAGGCTTGTATACAAGTTTTGGGCAATTTTTTTTTTTTTTTTAGACATTTTGCAAAGACACTCCTGAAGAAACCTGAAGGCACCCCAGGGTGCCTGGGCACTCTGGTTGAGAAAGGCTGGTCTAGATGTTATGAGCAGGAATTGTAGACACATTGGGGTTTATGTACTAAAACTGGAAAGTGCAAAATCAGGTGCAGCTGTGCATGGTAGCCAATCAGCTTAAGCTTTGGCAAAAAAAACCAAAAAACTGGAAGCTGGTTGGTTTTCATGCAGATCTGCACCAGATTGTGCACTCTCCAGTTTTAGTAAATCAACCTCATTTGTGTTGATTTACTAAAGGCAAAGAGGCTGCTCACTTTGCACTTTGTAAGGGAATTTGCCCCAAAACTTAGTGGATGTGGTGAAGTTTCACTTTACAAAGAAGACACAAGCACATGCAAAGAAAAGAAAAATACAGCATTTTTGCTTGCACACATTTGGGTGATGGAAGTCAGCGGAACTTCACCCAGTTCACTAGGCACTGGGGAAAATGTAACTTACCTTGCAAAGTCCACAGTCTAATTCCTTTAGTAAATGAACTTCATAAAATATGACATCCATGTCAAATGTGAAGGACTGCAGACTGAATCCCATTGTAATCCTTCACATTTGACTTGGACTTCAAATGTCTGTACATAAGAGAGTAAGCTAGGTTCATAAATACATGTTTCAAAGCTCATAATTTCACTGTCCCAACTTACAATCATATTTCATTTTCCAGAAAATTTCAGTTAGGCTTTAGGTTATGTATGTATTTTAAAGGCCTGGAGAGTTATTACTAATAGACACAGTAGGTGGCAGAGGCAAAGAGGTAGCTTTGCCCAGCACAATCACTGGCAACACATTTTTTTCGATCATCAGAAGGAATAACCATCTCATATAAGATTATTTACACATTAACACAATACTCTAAATCAGGACAGGGCCAGAAAAAGCATTTTCTTTGTAAAAGAAGTGATCCTAGCAGAGTAAAATTATTCATGGAGCCAATGGTTATATTCCTCCAGGCTCAAGGCATGCAAATCCATAAGGTGGAGCTTTTTTTTTCCACCAAATGCACTAAAAGTGTAGGTGTTAGTTTGTTAATTAGCTTGTGGTGTAATGCATGTTAATGCACATAATTTTTTAGAGCACACAATTCAACTGGCAAAAAATAAATGGACTTCTCAAAAAGACAGCATGCTGGACTTTTTACGGTGTATTCCAGATCTACAGCCTGGTTCCAGATCTATGAACCAAATTTTTGAAGCCATTCAATCACCATGACAGCCAGGCAACTCGCATTTTAGGAAGGAGAGGTCCCAGCGATGTTTTCACTGCTTTTCTAATTACAGGCTTTTTTAAAGAGACTCTGTCTCTTTAAAAAAAAATTCATATTAAAGCAATACTACAATTCCTACAATAGGAATGTCTCAATGCTTACCACTCTGGAAGATGGAAAATTCAAATTCCATTGTTTTCAAGTGCCACAGCCTTTGGCAGAATTTTATGTTAGATGTCTGATCCCCTTAATGCTACCTCCCGCTGTCCCCCACATTTATTTATTTAATTATTTCAGGTACTTATATAGCTCCGTCAATTTACGCAGCACTTTACATATATATATATTATACATTCACATCAGTCCCTAACCCTCAAGGGGTGTACAATCTAAGGTCCCTAACTCGCACTGATACATACTAGGGCCAATTTAGAGAGGATCTAATTAACCTACCAGCATGTCTTTGGAGTGCGGGAGGAACTGGAGTACCCAGAGAAAACCCATGAAGGCACAGGGAGAACATGCAAACTCCAGGCAGGTGGTGCCGTGGTTGGGGTTTGAACCAAACTCCAGGCAGGTGCTGCCAGGCGGAAGTGCTAACTATTTAGCCACTGTGCTGCTCGCATTACTGCTATTCTATGTGACATAGGAGTTGGAGGATGGAACCATAGTGCATGGTGCCAGACGCAGGCATCCAGCACTCCCAGATGACTCGAATCCTGAAGATTTTGCCAGAGGATAGAATGACTGAAGACAGCATCGAGAGGTAAGTATTCAGAGTCAATTCATAGTCAAGAGTGACTCATAGTCAACATAGGCTTTAAGGCCGTTCTCTAGATGAACTGAGAACCAAATACTTGCTAAAATATTTTGGCACCATTACAGTTTGGAAATTTACAGCTATAACAGTTGGGAAATTCTCATGTTTTTGACTTGGCCAGGAAGTAGGACTTTAAATCACATAATAGTACATCATTTTCCAATGTCACATTTTTGTCACTTGTACTATCACATTATCTGGTTACTTCCTCTAGTGAAACTAACAAACCCATAACACATTAATAAAATATAAACTACAATGTCAAGCTATGGCTTTTATCCACTGAAAGAATCCACTCCACAAAAAATCTGAATGGTTTTCTACATATACACAGACGGCCAAAAATATAAATTGCTCTCTTGCTTCAAGACAGCGACAACAGCAAGTCATGCTGGAAATGTTCACTTGCATCTCTTCCATGACCATATGTTTTACATTGAGTGTCATGTTGGAACCAATACAGGAAGAGCCATACAAACTATTGCATATTTGTCTTTGATATCCGTTTGGGCGTCTTGCCTCTTATCGTGGAAAATTTCTTGGAAACACTATAGCCCAGCTAATAACATTCTGTTGTGATGGATACAGTTTGTGCGATGAGGCTAAACAGTGTAAGGCAATAGAAAATAAAGCAAACAGGGTTTTGTACAACAGAGAGGGAATCATTTGGACCCCTTTCACATGGCAGGTCCAATCAATTCTACTTGTCATTTTTTCAGGTAGATGGTTCATTCATGCCTATGGACAGCCAGGTGTAGATGGACTTGTGTCTGTTTACACCCACCTACCTCTGTGTCCAATTCGGTCTGCTAAGAAAAAAACAGAACAGAGGGTAGTCAGGTGTACACCGACAGCAAAGTCTCCAATGGATCACAGGAGTGCAGTTAATTCTGTACTCCCATGATCCATTTTCAGCCATCAGCGGGCTAAAATTCCCTGTCGGCTGGCATCACAGAGCTGGTCCAGGCTCTGAAAAGATCCTGACTATATGGTCAGGATCCACCCAGAAGCCTGGACCGGTATTTGGCTCAGACTCTCAGCAATCCCCCAAGAGCCTGAGCCAGCCCCTCGCTTCAAACTCCACAGCCCAGTGACTGACAGTCCTGGCTCTCTGCTCAGAGCAAAAGGGAGAATTGAGCAATAGCGGTCTTTGATCGCTTAGTTCTCTGTGCTGAGTCAGTGGAGGGATACAGCATAGGATCAATGCTGCATCCACCTAGGTGAGTATAATATTTTGTTTGGTTTTTTAATACCCCATACTTTTCTTTTAACAAGCCTTTTATTTTCTATCATGTACCTGGTATATGACAGTTGATCAGAGAAGACAGCCTTATAGATTCTAATCTGCTCTGATTGGGAAAGAATCAAATCAGTTATCAAAAATCAAGTAATTCCTGGGCTGCACTATTATAAATATCCAAAAGTAGAAATTCAGATTACTACAAACTCCCTATTTCCTTTACTAATCACTGCAGCAACTGTGTGTGCTGTATTTATTTATTTCAGGTACTTATATAGTGCTGTCAATTTATGCAGCACTTTACATATATATTGTACATTCACATCAGTTCCTAACCCCCAAGGGGTGTAGAATCTTAGGTCCGTAAGTTACATTCATACATACACATACTAGGGCCAATTTAGACAGGAGCCAATTAACCTACCAGCATGTCTTTGGAGTGTGGGAGGAAACTGGAATACCTGGAGGAAACCCACGCAGGCACAGGGAGAACATGCAAACTCCAGGCAGGTGGTGTCATGGTTGGGATTTGAACCAATGACCCTAGTACTACCAGGCAGAAGTGCTAACCATTTAGCCACTGTGCTGCCCATAAACAGTACAAAGCATCAGCTTCATATACTATACAACGCTGTTTCGGCAGCGGTACTAGGACTTCCTGTCCCATTCCCTGAAAAAATAAGTCAAGCTGAACGCTGCTCAAACATTCACAGAAGGCTATGTATTTTTATGGATAATGCCAAGGCTTCCTCTGATTGGCTGAGGTGGAGATTGCAATGTCATCTGCCAACTTCTCCACCTAAGCTAATTACAGGAAACCTTGTATTCTGCCAGGTGGAAGTGCTAACCATTTAGCCACTGTGCTGCCCATAAACAGTTTAAAGCATCAGCTCCATACAGTATACAGCGGCATGTTTCGGCAGCGGCACTAGGACTCCTGTCCCATTCCCTGAGTAAAAATGAGTCAGGCTGAGCGCTGTTCAGCCATTCACAGAAGGCTTTGTATTTTTATGGATAATACCAAGGCTTCCTCTGATTGGCTGAGATGGAGATCG